AATGTTAGCAATTTATTATCTGTTAATGGTTCAAAAGAACAAGACTGGTTTTCCCCAAAGAATACTTTTTAAAACAGAAGCAAACATTTGTTAAGTGTGTTGTTTATAACATTGTAGCTATTCAAATGTATAAGAGAATTTGCACATACTAAACAACAATTACAGTAATAAGACCCATTTATGACTTGGGCCATTGGTTTACTTTAAAATACTAGAAAAATCATGGAAGGGTTATAATGGATTTTTATGATCACCAATAATTATCTTATCAGAGTAAGTATTATAGAATGGCACTTAAGATAGATAACTTACTTTGTCTTTTGATATTCTTTATATGGTTGAAGAACATATAAATTACAGGGCAACTTATGGCACAATTGTGATAAGATTTGCCTCAGTCTTCCTTGGTGCGTATCATGTCACAACTCTCAAAATGAAACATAAATGACAAAGATATATTTTTTCATAAAGTGTTTGAGTAAATCTCCCTGTTGATTAGAATAAAAGATCACAACACTCTTTCCCACTTTTCATATCAAGAATGTTTTCTGATACCTCTTTTTGTTAGATACAGCCTGACATAAATTGTCTATGAGGCCAATTAAACATTCTCTTGTTACATAGTAATATTACTTTTTTTTTTTTCCTTTCAACAGCTTGTTCTTCGCAAATGGTGTGAATTAATTCCTGGGGCTGAGTTCCGGTGTTTTGTCAAGGAAAACAAGCTTATTGGTGAGCTTTTTTTTTTTTTTTTTTTTTTTTCTCTTGAAGGTAATCTTTAAAAAGGAAGAGGCGCTTTAATGGGAGTAAATAATTAGGGTGGGGATATCGATCAGTTTTAACTTCAGATGTCCCCTCTAACCAATTGGTTCTGTGGACTGCTATGTTGATAAGGATCCTGAGGCCATATTCAGTTTTCACAGAAAAGAGGTATTGTATATTTAGACTCCATAGATGAAAGTGATGGTCTTTACCTTTACTGATTTAGGATATTTAGGATATACTGTCCCTTTGGGGCTTTCCCAAGAATTGTTCTAAATACATTGTTTATTTTAGGCATCATAAAAACTGAAGTTGGTTTTTTGTTTTTTTTTTTAACTTTATTTTTATTAATGGGGTACTGGTTATTATTTTTAAGGAGCTCTGGTGGCATAGCAGGTAAAACATGTGGCTGCTAACCAGAAGGTCAGTGGTTCAAACCCATCAGCTGTTCCACAGGAAGAAGATGAGGGAATCTACTTTGGTAAAGATTATAGCCTTGGGAATCTAATGAGGGGTCACTATGAGTCTGAATTGACTTAGTGGCAGTGGGGTTTGGTTTATTATTCTAGCAACAGAGAATATATGGACAGATAAGGACATTATTTTGACATTATTAAAAGTCACCTGTTTCCTTTTCTCTCAGATTATTTTGTTTACTAAGATTTTATTCAAGGTATATATTAAAAATAAATTATTTTTTATCCATGTTTTCTTTGAGGTAGAATTTATCTTTGACTAAAAAAAGTATGATTTGAATAGAATTAAATTAACACTATTTAATTTATTTGAGCATATTACTGTGGTTTGGGTGAAAGTTTACAGAACAAATTAGTTTCCTGTTCACTAATTCATACACATTTTGTTTTTGTGACATTACATTCCCTCAATATAAAGCACTCTTCCCACTTCCTCCCTGGGTTCCTGTTTCCATTTGCCATTTGTCTTTCTTGCTTCTGCCTGTCTTCTGATCTTTTTAGGCAAATGCTGCCCTTATGGGCTCGTATATTTGATTGTTCTGAAGAGCATATTCCTCCTAGGTGTTTTTGTCATGTTACAGACCAGTCTCTTGTTAGGCTGAAAGATGGTCCCTGTGGGTGGGTTCAGTTCCAGGTGTGAAGCGTATCTAAGGGCCATAGTGTCGGAGGTTCTACCAGTCTCTATCAGACCAATAAGTCTGGTCTTTTTTATGATTTTGTGTTTTGTTTTACATTTTTCTTCCACTCTGTCTAGAACCTTCTTTTGTGATCCCGATACGAGTGGTTGGTAGTTGTAGCCAGGCACCATCTAGTTCTTCTGGTCTTAGGGTAATGGAGACTGTGGTTTGTGCAGTCCATTAGTCCTTTGGACTCATTGTTTCCTTGAGTCTTTGATTTTCTTCACTCTTCTTTGCCACAGATGGGAAGAAACCAAGAGTTCTATCTTAGGTGGCTTCTCACTAGCTTTTAAATCCCCAGTTGCTGCTTACCAAAGTAGGATGTAGAACATTATCTTTATGAACTATGTTACATCAGTCTACCTAGATGTCCCTCAAGGCTGGTCCTAAGCCCTCAAGCCCAGTGTTTCAGTCCCTTAAGGTGTTGGTTATGGCTAAGAAGTTTGTGTAAGTTTGCCCCCTGTATGATGTACTATATATCTGGATATATTTGCAGCACATACAAATATGAACATAGAAGTATTCTCTGCTAAACCTATGTATGTTGTTATTATATGCCGTCGAGTCGGCCCCGACT